CTGCAAAAAGCACTTGTAACCCTTTGATGCCCTCTCCTAGAGTAACAAGCGGGGATGCTACCGCTGCTGCAGGCCCACTAGGCCAGGCACCGTTTGTTCAAAGAAATGGGGAGGGCCATTCAATTCCCGCCAGTGTGGGCAACACACAGGCCTTTAGAGGAATCGTAAGACCCCTGTGTCTATAAGATTGAGTGAATTCTCTTCCCTTCAAACAGCAGACATGACTCAATTGTCCTTGAGTTTATATCAGCTGCAATCACACTTGGTATCATTTCAGCTCCTATTCCACCTTAAGGTAGTATGATATACAGCTGTGTTGCTCCCATATGAATTAATTATTTCCTTAATCATCCTCCGTCACTTCTAGATGTTGAGGGAATCCTGGGCGTCAGCATGCTATAGTGGAAACAAGACGCCGACGTCACCGAAAGGGAGCCTCACATCCTGGGCCCATCTCTGAAGTAAAGGAATCATTCCTGAACTGTCCTCCCCACAGGGCATTATGAAAACCACAAGAGAATAACGGATTTAAAATCATTTTGCAGAATGTTAATATGCCGTTTTTACTATTGTTATCATTCACCAGTGTTAGAAAAGAGACTTACTTAAAATGGTTTTTACCTAATGAACTAGTGTTTATTCATTTATTTATTCATTCAACATGAATTTGTTGATCATTAGTGTGTGCCAGGCACAATTCTAGACTCTTGTGATTTAGAAATAAGTTAGACAGCAAAGTGTCTACCATAATGGAATGTAGCTTTTCAGTGGGGGAAGATAGAACATAAATGCATAAACAGAGGTACACACACACACATACACACACACACAGTCCACAAGGGAAAATTGATGGATTGGATGCCATTAAAATTCAAACTTTTGCTCTGCAAAGTACCCAGTTAAGACAATAAAAAGACAAGCAACAAAGTAGCAAAAATATTTACAAATCAAATATTCAACAAGGAATTAATATCTAGAATATACAATGAAGTCTCAAATTCAGTGATCTAAAACAATATAGTAAGAAAATGGGCAAAAGATATGGGCAGATAGTTCACTAAAGCTGAAATTCAAATGCACATGAAAAGATATTTGATTCCATCAACTATTAAGCAAATGCAAGTTAAAACCACAATGAGCTGTCACTACATACCTAGAACGAACAACGTAAAACAACTACAACACTGAATTTTGACTAAGAGGTAGAGAAACTGAATCACTGCTGCATCGATTGTGGCAAAGTGAATGGCACGACCACTCTGAAACCAGTGCGGAATTTTCTTTTAAAGCTAGCCATGCGATTGTCATATGAACCAGCTATCCAATCTCAGGCATTAATCCCAGAGAGATGGAAATGTACATTTACAGTAAAACCTGTACACACATCTTTACAGAAGCTTTATTCATGGTAGCCAAGAACCAGAAATAGCCCAGATGGCCTCCAAAGCATGAAGAGTTAAACTGTGTCCAGCCGTACCATGGAATACTACTCAGCCATTAGAAAGAGTTATTGATACAACCCAGCTGGAAGCACCAGAGAATTGTGCTGAATGAGAAAAGCCATCCTGCACACTTTGCACAGTGTATGACTTCATTTATAGAACATTCTTGAAATGACAAAATGATAGAAACACTGATGGATGGTTGCCAGGGGTTCAGGGCAGGAGAGTCGGCTCTGAAAGGGAAGGGGCTAGGCTTAGCTATGAAAGTTAAGAAGCTGGGCATGGCTATGAAAAGACAGAAGGGGGCATGGCTGTTAGCTGGAAGGGGCATGGGCATGGCAATGAAAGACAATGGAGTGGGCATGGTTATGAAAGAAAAAGAGTGTACGTGGCTATGAAAGGGCAGGGAGTGGGCGTGGCTATGAACAGGAAAAGGCTGGGCATGGCTATGAAAGGGCAGGGAGTGGGCGTGGCTATGAAAGGTAAGAAGGTGGTCTTGTAAATGAAAGCGGCAGAACGTGGGCAAGGTTATAAAAGGGCACAGAGGAACCCTTGCTCCTTCAGTGGTGGTTATCTGCGTGTTGACTGTGGTCATAGACACAGAAACCTACAGTGGTGCTAAAATTGCACAGAATTAAACACACATGCGTATATGAACACAAGAGGAAGTAGGAAATCTGCACATTGGTGGGATGAATCAATGTCATTCTGCCTGTGAGTATGTGCTAAGGTTCTGCAGAATGTTATTATTGGGGTACACTGAGACACGGATGCATGGGATTTCTGTATTATTTCTTCCAACTGCATGTGGATCTACAGTTACCTCAAAAGGGTTTAAAACCAAAATCTGCAAAATATAATCTTGGATAATGACAAATGCCATAAAGAAAAAAACCACTAAATCTCATTTGGGAAATGAGAGGAAGGGTGGATGAGGAGAAAGGCCAGCAAGCTTTGGCTGAGGACAGAGTGTGCCTGGGAACCCCAAGGAGCTCCCAGCTGGCTGGTGTTATTTTGGTTTTGCAGCTAAGCTGCCCGCTAAACACACCGTTTAAGAGCTCATCCTGGGAACTCCATTACCAATGATCACAAGCAGCGTCTGTGACAGGGAACCGTGAGCAGCCAGAACCATAGGTGCATATTCCTTCCTACTGCACCTGAAGAACCGGGAAAAGCAGGTCACAGACTCACTCACTTGTTAGCTGATTGTCCTGTGAGTCTTTCCATAGCAAGGCCTTATTGTTAAAAGCACACTGTGTGTGTGTGTGTATGCGAATGCACACACACATTTAGTAAACAGCAGCATCATACACCCTGCAAGGGCATTTAGCCTGTACTCCGTCGGTCAGTGGCTTTTAAATCTTCATCTTATAAGTGACTCCCAGACGGATATGCATCTTGGAACAGAGGTAGTCTCACCCCCAGCAATTATTCTAACTAACTCCCCTTCCTCCAAGAGGGGTTCTCATGTTTGCGAGGGTGTGTCCTCTCTCCTGAAGAGCCCGGAGGACCCACGCTGGGATATTTGGATGAGCAGTGCTGATGAGAGGCTGAAGGTGCTTCACTGTTTCACCGTTTCACCTGGGAATGGGAAGGACACTTCCGACTCCATAATTGGTGAATGTGCACATGGAGAAGAGAGCACACTCCAAATAAAACCTGTAATTTTGTCCATTAAATTATGTTTTTTTAGATGCTTATTACTTTAATGAAAAATCTGTCCCTCTCCTGACAATGGTCAGTCATACCTGCCATTGAGGGCCTGGGACTGTGGCTGCTCCCACAGGGTGGCCCGATGGTCTCCAGGTCTTCTTCCTTGCTGCTTTTCACGAACACTGAGGAATAGAAAAACGCTTTTCCCAAAGCAGTGATGGACAATGTGATGAATCTATAGAACATTCTAAAAAGCTTAAAGTGATAAAGATGAATTTTTAAGATTATCAGTAGAATAAGTCATTGTGTAAATTAATGTAATAATATTTTATGAAAGCAAAATATTATGATTGTTTTAGCATAGTATTGGCAACATAGCAGATAGAATGGCTTTGATTATTAATGTCCAGTCCTACTAATTCTCAATCTTATTTTGCTTTATATTGGTTTATTTATAAGATTTATTTAAATTTGTCTATTTGTTGTTTTTCAAATGGTGGGAATTAACTTGAATTTTTACAAAACCACTAACTCGAATGCTATCCCAACCTTTCTTAGTCAAGTTAGTAATGTCTCAGAATGTGTTGGAAATAACTGTGACTACTATATAAATATTAATCATAGAAGTTTACACATAAGCCCCATTTTAAACACTATTTCGGATGTTGCTTTATAGCTGTAACAAATAAAAATTTTAAATTCTTACTCAAGATGTTGCACTGTGTTTTGCTTTTTAATTAGTAAATAACATACTCTTGTAAAACCTTTTATGTGGAAATCGCCATAACTTATATGCTATACTTTGAACTGAGAAGGACAAAAATACAAACACACACAACAGCCTTCTGATGATATAAGCTATGAAATACATGTGCAGATACATCACGTACGCTTCTGCACATGTATTTTGTCTCTATATATTTTACAATCTTAATACTTTGTAGACTCAGTCATAAAAATGACTCTTTCCCCTACTTTTATAAGCATATATTTATAGTTTTGTGTATTTTTTTTATTACAAAGAGTAATTTCATTAATTTCCTTAAAAGGTTTTTCTATAAGGAATAATTTCTTGGAAATTAATTGGTTGTGATACGAGGTGGTTGTTGCCACCATCCCTCTCATCTTATCTCCATGTGTCTCATCACCTCCGTGTATCTCATCTCCATGTGTGTCATTATCCCCATGGATCTCATCACCTCCATGAGTCTCATCACCTCCATGTGTCTCATGATCCCCATGCCTGTCATCTCCATGCATCTCATCTCCATGCATCTCATCATCTCCATGCTTCTCATCTCCATGCATCGCATCATCTCCATGCATCTCATCTCCATGCATCTCATCATCTCCATGCATCTCATCTCTATGCATCTCATCATCTCCATGCTTCTCATCTCCATGCATCTCATCTCCATGCACCTCATCTCCATGCATCTCATCTCCATGCATCTCATCATCTCCATGCTTCTCATCTCCATGCATCTCATCATCTCCATGCTTCTCATCTCCATGCATCTCATCATCTCAATGCATCTCATCTCCATGCATCTCATCTCCATGCATCTCATCATCTCCATAGGTCTCGTCATCTGTTGTGTCTCATCTCCATGTGTCTCATCTGCGTATATTTCATCCCCATGCATCTCAGCTCCATGTCTCATCTTCGTGTGTTTCATCTCCATGTGTCTTTTCATCCCCATGCTTCTCATCTCCGGGATCTCATCATCTCTTGTGTCTCATCTCCATGTGTCTCGTCATCTCCATTTGTCTCATTATACCCAGCCTGGCCTCATTGCCTACTTGCAACAGATGGGTTAAAGACCTGACAATCACATGCCTCAGGTAGGGTTTTGCTTTTATTATGAATATCAGCCTCATCATTCTGCCTTTTTGTTCTTCTCTAGAGTGGCCACATCTGGTGGAAGAAGAAAAAAATGTAGTTATTGAATTCAGTCAAGTGTTTGCGTCTTTGAAGCTTTCAACAGAATTCCATTAAGAAAGGTTCTGGCTGGTCTCACAGACATATGGATATCCAAGGAGCCACCTAAGGGTAAGGAACTCTATGTGGTATTAATACTTTAAGCTTTACATGCAGATAGGTGTTTTGCTTATATACCTTAAAATATGTTAGTTTGAAAAAGCATAAATATATGTTTGTGAAGGAAGCAGCATTTTATTTGATATAGAATACCACACCTCTTGCTTTTAATAAACCATGCAGTATAAAGTCAGAACGTGTAATCTCTTGGTAAACAAAGACTCAAGTAGCCTTCTGTTATCTGGCTACAACAGCACCCAAAAGAAGAATTTATAAACATACTAATAGGTCTGGGTCATCCTTCAGCAGTCACAGAGAAGTTCCTCTGGACAAAGTCCCTTTAAATACAGATCGCTATGTCCATTATTAGTTCTATTTTGGGATATTTTATATTTAAGGAAATTAAGAAAGTCATTAATTAGGGACTCTTTTGCGTTGCCAGAGTGCCTGTAGGTTTCGTCAGTTCCTGTTGATAAACCTCCCTTGCTACCACTGTGGGCTCTGGGCGTCATGCTCCTCGAAAAACTTCAGGTTGCCACATTTTATTTTCAAAATAATTGTAGTAAAATACACATAACATGAAGTGTACCATTTTCACGGTTTTCAAACGTATAATTCGTGATGTCAAGTGTCTTCACATCCTGGTGCACTGGTCACACCTCCATCTTCAAAAGTTTTTCATTCACAAACTGAAACCCTGTCCCAATTAAACACTAACTGTTGTGGCCTCCCCTGCACTCCCTGGTCCTAGCATTCTGCTTACTGTCTTTGTGAATGTGACACCAGACTTACCTCATGTGAGTGGCATTGTACAGTATCTGTTCTTTTGTGACTGCTCTCTTTCACTTAGCATGATGTCCTCAAGGTGCAGTCATGTTGCAGAATGGGTCAGAACATCCTTCCATTCTAAGGCTGAATAATAGTCCACTGTACATCTCAGTGGACATGTGTGCTGCTTCTACCTCTCAGCTACTGTGAATTATGCTACTGGTAGCTTGGGTGAAGAAATATATATTTAAGTCCCCGATTTTACATCTCCTGGGCATCCACCCAGAAGTGGGATTGCTGGGTCATGCGCATCATATTGTATTTTTAATTCGTTCAGGAAATGCCACTGTTTTCCATAGTGGTCGCACCACAAAATGGTGCATTATTGCCACAGTTCACAGGGTTCCAGTTTCTCCACATCCAGGCTGACACTGTTGTTTTCTATGGTTTTCTTTTTTAAAAATACTAGGCATCCTGGTGGATGTGAAGTGGTATCCTATTGTGGTTTGGATTTGCATTTCCCTAATAATTCATGATGTTGAGCATCTTTCCATGTGTTTATGGGACATTTGCACGTCTTCTTTGGAGAAATGTCTAAGTCCTTTGCCTTAATCAGGTTCTTTGTTTTTTATTGTTATTGAGTTGTAGGAATTCTTATAGATATTAACTCTTTATCATATGTATGATTTGCAAGTATCTTCTGCTGTTTTATGGGTTGCCTTTCACTTTGTTGGTAATGTCCCTTGACACAAAAACATTTCGTTGTTTTCTTTCATGTTTTGATGTTGTCCAATTTCACTATTTTTTTTTTACCTAACTTTAGGTATCATATTTAATCAATCATTGCCAAATTCAATGTCAGTAAGCTGATCCTTCCTATTTTCTTCTAAGAGTTTTGTAGCTTTAGCCTCTGTGTTTAGGTTGCTAACCCATTTGGAGTTAATTTTTTTTTACAGATTTAAGGTAAGAGTCTAACTTTATTCTTTTGCATATGGTTATCCTCTGTGTGTTGAAAAGACTGTCCTTGCCCCACTAAATGGTTTTATGGCATTTAGTCAAAAATCCTTTGTCAAAAATCATTTGACCGTATATGCAAGAGTTTATTTCTGGGTCCTCTATTCTGTTCCATTGGTCTGTATGTCTGTCTTTATGCCAGTACCACACTGTTTTGATTACTGTAGAATTTGCAGTAAGTTTTCAAGTCAGAAAGTATGAAATATCTGTCTGTGTTCTTTTTCAATATCGTTTTGGCTATCTAGACGTCTCTTAAGGTTCCATATGAATTTTGAAATAGATTTATTTCTGGAAAAAAAAAATGACCTTAAGATTTTGAAAGGAACTGCACTGAATTTGTAGATCATATGGCTAAGTTTCTTATTGAGACAGAAACAGGTTTGTTTTTTTTTTATAATACTTTCTAGTAAAGAATTTCTATGTGCAATTTAAGCATGTATCATGACTTTAAATAATTCTTTCTCTTTGGAAAAAAAAAGCTCAGATTTTTACCTTGTTTTTCTGAGACTGGTCTGATTAACAATGAGCAATTACATAAGAATATCAAATATAAAGTTTTCTGAAATCTTCCCTAAAGATGAAGATGTTGTTTTTGTTTAGTTTCTTTAAAACTCAGCTTTGTTTTTAAGACTTAATTATCTAGCAGTAATTTTGAAGGCTTTGTTCTCTAGCAGTAATTTCTTAGGTAGAAAGCCAACAATGGCATGGGATGTTCCACCTAATCTCGGCGATTAAAGATACCCTGGCATCCAGGGGTTTATTGTTCATGACAAGAGACTAGAAAACATTCAAGCTTAGATACGTATATGCGTTAGGCATCATCCAAGACCACCGTGAATACTAACAATGTAGAGAGGCTTGGAGCACATGTTTAATTCCCCAACTGTGTCCATTTGTAGATCATAAAACTTATCACTCATAGAGCCCTATACGGTAAGCACCAGCATGGGGCAACCACAAACTCTTTCTGCAAGGAAGAATGACTATTATTCCCTCTTTAGAGGGCAGTAAAGGGAAGATAAGAGAGCTTAGGTGACTAACCTAAGACAACATAATTAATAAGCAGCCAGGACAGGACCTGAACCATGCCTAACTGTCCTGGAAAGAAAGCTGGTGTACAATGTGGTGGGAAGGAATGATGCTTCAGGATTTAGACTTAACACAAATCAGGAACTCCAAGAAGCCTTTAATTTCAGTTCTTAATTCAAGCCTAAATTCAACTCTAAGAAAAATATTCAAAAATTAGCACTTAGAAACGACATGACAAAAGTCTCACTCAAAGAACAGACTTTGTTTTTACCACTGCCCTTTTCCGCCACCAGTACTAAGTAGTGAGTGGGTATTTATCATTCATTCATCATTCTCTCATGCTTTCAACAGTGCCAAGTACCTGTTTTGTGCCAGGAACTCTTGTGTCTGTATGTAAAAAAATAAATGAGATGCAGTCCTTGCTTTCAAAGACTTTGCACACTGAACAAACATAAGGCGTGGAGAGGACTATAGGAAGGCTAGACCATAGTCTTTCCCTTGGTGCAAAATGTGTCTTACTCCTTTCTGTGTTCCAGAGCTGGGTATGTTTTCTGGGCCGTATTAAGTACTCAGTCACATCTCAATGGATCCACAGAGGTCTGTGCAGGCTGTTGAGGAAGAGATCTTAATTGGGAGCAGAGGAATCCAAGAGAACTTTGCAGAGAGGAGACCACTCTAACAGTGGTTCTTTAAAGATTAGTTTATTAGATGAATAAATCTGTAAATGGCTGGCTTGAGAGAAGGAAAATACAAAACTCAGAGATGGGAAGCGTCAGGTAATGGATGTGAAATACTATTCAGTTGTCACGTACAGCGACATGTTAGGACAAAGGGATTAACTCCTCATGGCTTAGGTTTGGTGTTTATAAAACGAGCATGGGTACTGTCTGCATCCTGTGGTCCATAGGAGACAAATGTGATGTGGCTCTGTTTCTCACCCTATCAGATGGAACGTAGAACAGAATGGTCCTCTGTAAGAAGCTGCATGCTTCCTCTCAGTCCTTGAAATTGATGACTACTTTGTTTCACTCCTCTGCCCGCCATTCTTTCTGCCCCCAAAGTCTGATGTTACTGTCTTCAACTTTCTGAATCCTGTTTTAGTAGCTGTTGTGCAGTTTGCCTAAGTGTAGACTCTGGGAATTGTTCTGCTAGTCCTAGCCTCAGATTACAACTCAGAATCAGAAGCACTCAGATGGAAGGACCCTTGGCACCGCCACCATGGCAAAGCAGCAGCTGCTGCACTCAAACCCAAGTCCCGCTACCTTCCCCGGCTCTCAGCTCTTCCCTCCCCTGCAGCTCTTGCCCCACCGTATGTCATCTCTTCTGTCTGTGGCAGCTAGCTTCCTTGAGCATCTCCACTTATGAAGGACCTGGGGGCTTGATCCTATGGGAGAAATAAAAATGCCGTAGAACAAGATTTAGATTTAGGGCATTTTTCTGTCCTCGTGTGTCCCAATTAGCCACTGTGATTGCTGAGCCGTGAACACCTGTGGCGCCTCCACAGCTGGTGCTCTAGGAAATCCAATTTCCCCTGAACCAGAGCCCAAAGAGAAAATCACACTGTGCATCCAATTTCCATGCTAAAGACTTTCCTTAAAATAAAATCGATATCTGTTTCCCAAAAAACTACATGAATTGTGTTCTGAATGGTGACTATTTTAAAGAAAAGTATATCATGCGTCCAGGAGGAAAATTCTGCTGAAATAGCTCCAGCTCTATAAATCTATGTATTATTCGACCCTTTGCAAGAAATATACTTAAAACAGTGAACAAATGTCATTAGGGTTAGTCCTGGAACTGCCAACAATCACTTGACTTTGGGCAAATCTCTACAAAATATTCTTTCCTTTTTCTGTGAAACAGAAATAAATGGTCAAATGAGATGAATATCAAGAACCTAATGTAAACTACAAAAGATGATGGTAGTAGTGAACCATTTACTAAGCATCCAGTCTGTACCACGCGTGGTTCTAAAAGCGCCATGTCTTATTTCATGTTCAGAAAAACCCTATGAAGCTAGTTGTGTGTGTGTGTGTGTGTGTGTGTGTGTGTGTGTGTGAGTTTTCACACTGCTGATAAAGACGTACCTGAGACTGGGTAATAAACAGTTCCACGTGGCTGGGGAGGCCTCGCAATCATGGCGGAAGGTGAAAGCCACGTCTTACGTGGCGGCGGGCAAGAGAGAAATGAGAGCCGAGTGG